CATAAGTATGCTAGTGTGAGCCCGAGGGTTTTGAGGGCGTAAATTTTGGAGTTTAACATATTTTTACATTAGAGGATGAAAAAAATTTAATCACACGTTATAACGGAAATAGATCGGATGGCGGATCTTACACATCGTCCGTTTGTTAATTAGTCAGCATAACGAGTGAACGACCTGTTGGCTCAGTGCCAACGATGATCGTATAAAAACGATCGTCCCCTCGGTTCGACCGTCCCTCCGAGCGATCATCTGGAAGGTCTGAATACAGTGTCTCCCGTCCCCATCCTGTCCAAGGAGAAGTCGGTAGAAGATATAAGCCTGTGACAGACAGCCAGCTTCCATAGTCCAGGATGATCGTCGCATACCGTCCTCAACATAAGGTATAATTGACCGCTAATATAAGTCTCTCACTCTAGAGCCTTTGTAAACTCTGTCACGAAGCATAGTGAATAGTTAGAGCGATTATAGATATATTTGTATTTCCGCATCTAGGCAATAATCAGTAACTTGTATACTCCTGTAAATTACTTTAGTTATAGAATAAACATTTATTTTGTTATTTGTTAAACCTGTCTCCTGTCTATCCGAGGAAACCTGTCGACTTACCGACGCACTCCCCACTCGATTTGCCCCCCCCCTTTGCCATCCGAACGACTCCGAGATCGGGCTTTACCAGCCTGTGCAGATTAAGTGGTCAGTACCAGATTAACCCCAGACCCACTGCTTATCTCACACTAGTTTTACCAGAAAATCTTCAATCACGAAATTTTCGGCATACTTGTGGTCTTCCTCTTTAAAAATAATAAAAATTTCCTGTTGTAGTTCAAACGGACGAGACAAAACATTACCTCGAGAGAGCCATCGTTCTCTCTTGGTAATGTTTTGTACTTTCTCAGAGTGCTGTAGTACAACAAAGACGTATGCTCGGATCCCACATCCTCACATAGTTTTTTGAAAAATCTTGCCTTCAACGGCCGTTTTTATAAAGTTTACTACATGTACTACGTATTTTGGTTCAACGCAGGACTCCTATATTTTGATGCGAGTGCTTCCCTGTGAATAACGCAATGGGTGCATAGTGCATTGGGGTCTTTGCTTCGAAAAAGTGCTTGCAATCCTCCGTAACATCCGAACATAGATAGAACGAGCACCATCAGCAATGCATTTGGTCCACTCCAAATTATTTTCGGAAATAAAAATATCGAGGATCTCGAACAAGTCGTGATCCTTAGCACTAGCAGTGATACTTTTACAGAAGAGAAAGTCTTCTACAACGTTATTATCTATAAACCGTACATAGCAAATCAAGTGAGCATCATTATTATTATCTGTGTCCTCATCCAGCTGCAGCCCAAATTCCTTCCCTTCTATTTTTTCAATAACTGAACATTGGAGGTCGTTCGTTATGTGCTATATTCTGCGACTGATAATGTTTGTTGGACAAAGGCACTTTTGAAAGCTGCCACCCAACAAATCCACCGATGATAATGTTCACCGCATCTATAGCAGCCGGGGACAACCGCTGGTCTACTCTAAAGTCCGAACAATATCTGGTGAATTAAAAATTTCGCATTTAATACACATAATTTAACACTAAATTATCTTCGCACTTGTAGGAAGAAAAAATTTGTTAAAGATGAAGACCTTTGGATTCCTTCTAATTCTTCTTGTCTTGAGTGTGATGATTGGTAAGTAATCTTTCATCCCATTTCACAAAGCACGTGTGAAATATTGTTTATATAAAATGCATATATTCTACTATTTAATTGAAATTTTGTAACGATTTCTTCAGCAACTTTCTCGATGGTGGAAGCAGATTGTGGACAACGCTGCCTGGGTAGTTGTCCAACAGGACCAGGAGAATGCCACCGCTTGAGATGCAAATGTAAAGGTCGAAGTGATTTACACGAAGAATAAAATGATCGAATGTACTGTACTGTACGGAAATTTGAAAATCAAATTATGTTTAATTGCATATTCTAAGTTTACTTTATCATTAAGATTTCATTTTCAAATTCCTAAGATTAAAATTAAGAGTAAAAGCCTTACATAGGATAACCAATGTAGTTATATAAATCAAATACTATAATATAGTTAACATTAAAATAGAACCATATAACGAGTTTGGTTATTTCATTAGATTGTCATTATTAGATTATTTCTTTGGGATTTTCAGAATGGCAATATGGAAAGTAAACAACAAAACACGGCTTGTTTGCACTAAAAATTAACTGCAAAACCACCAACACACGCCAGTAGTTTAAATTTAATTTCATTATTTTAGTCTATACAGAACTATGTAAACTATAATCCATAATAAACATTATCCTAATGTTTATTATGTAATTTGTGGGATAATGTGGGGTATTTTTAATGGAAGTTTTTCTCACTTTTAGAAGAACTGAATATAAAAAAAGCTGTGAACTAAATGATTTCGGGAAAGTAATATACCTGAACTGGAAGAAAAGAGTCGGCCCAGAGTGGAACTTTAGCCCGCAACTCTAAAATAATTGTTTTATATTCCGAAAGTGTCTTCTTTTCTTCGATTAATTTGTTATCACTACTAAATGCGCACAGAGACACTTGGCAATTTTATCAACTTTTATTTGGAAATTTCTTATCTGTCTAGACACGTTTCGGGCCCAAGCCCCTCTTTCTTCGGCTACATAATAAAACAGAAATATAAGTTCCTTGTATTACGCAATATTTCATATTATGACAATTATAACATATCATTACCTCCTGGAAAATCATAATAATCGAAAATACATTATATTTTTTTAAAACCACTGTTAAATACAATTCATTATTAAAACTCTCTTATAGTTTGGAATACATTTATAATTAAAATTATTTCTACATTTAAATCTCTATCCTTACACCGAACAATTCTTAAAACTCAATCATGCAACAAAACGTAAATATAAATTTTCCTTACTTCAAAAATTAATTCACCATTCATCTTGTAAGTTGTAGTATATGCATATATCCTATTACAATAGCATATTCAAGTGTTAAAAATTTACATTATAAGAATACCTTTACAATTAAGATTACATTAAAATTTTTCATCTTTACGTTGGACATCACTTACTTGTTAGAGCATCAATATGACAAATCTCATTTGCATAAGGACGAGACCGTTCAACTATATTTGCACATTAGGCATCCTTAACGCTAGAGGAACCTCTATATCAGCAAGTGTCCTTGGTTTAGAAGGCTGCCATGCTGGTCGCATTCTTTTTATTTTCTGACGAAGTACTGTACATTTTTTGAAGGCGAACACAGCGCTGTGTGTGGAGGGACAATTCGTACACGAACAAATAATTTGATGGGAGCCTTTAAGTATTTTTCGCTTGCATTTTTATTACTTTTTTGAACTTTGAAATACTCGCTGCTCTTGGAGAGTAGTTATGGTCTACAAATTTTCTAAGAATATGTTGTCCATTAAAAAATCTGGTTATTGCTGGATTATAATTAAGATATTTTCTACTTTCACAGCATCTATAATAATTCTCTCTTAAACTTTTATCCTTCATCATTAAGAAGCCATGTACATTTAACTTATTGACCCTTTCTGCAATAGAATTACTTCACAGATCTTTCTTCCATTAGGTTCTTAAGAAATGAATTTCAACATTCAGCACCAATAAATAGCTTAATTAGAAGAATCCATTCAAAACTTTTTAATTTATCTTTAGCCACGTGATGTTCCAAACAAAAACTATGTTCAAATAATGACATCTAAAAGGTACAAATGCATTTACATATGATTCAAAGTTGTGTATTAAAATAGAATAAATACGGTATCCATCTTTTCAAAAGGATCTTTTAGTGGCATTTTGCAAAAATAGTGACAAACGAAAAAAGTGGCAATTCCAAACCTCACAACCATTGTAAATTATTGATACAAGCATTGCTGAAATATAGGTTCTACACACCATTTATTTGTTAAGAGCTGTGTTGTGATCAGACCTCCTCTACATCATTTCCAAAGAAAACTGACTAATATCTAAGGTTGCCAAGTACTGCACATTTCAGTGAATCTCACAAAATGACAAAACATGTTATTTAGGACTTTAAATTGTTTTATGAAAAAATCTAGCTAAGCCACATAATTCAAATTTTGTATTTCTTGAAATAAATTTTATCATCATGCACATTCATGTGCATGATGATAAAATATCATGTGCACATTCAAATCGCTTATGTTGTTTTTTCCCATTATATCATGTATTATACTCTAAAATGATAATTTTTCCCCCTGTTCCAGGTTTAATATCAAATACCCTGAGATTTCCAAGTCCATTTAACACCCACTGAGCAATATTTGTTTCAAGCTTTATCTGTACTAAACTAAATCTTGTTAATATTCAGAAAAAATAAACAATTATATCTTATGAAACGATTTAATTTTTTTTTAATGGTAAGATTGAATAAATAATTATTTCTGTTGTTACTAGAATAACTTTTTTTGTTTGTATTAAATGTGTGTTATTAAATAGTACTCTAGAAACATGTTTTGTTTATATTGTTATGCCAAACACCCCTCTTCTAAACATTAAAAAGTTCTTTTCTTACCATCCATATCAATTTAGAGTATTTATAGAATCATGATATAAATTTTAAAAAATAAAATGATCCCACACGAATTCTTTCAGAAACTTCTTGTTGCTTTTGTCATCTGTTTTGATAGCTACATCACACATGCATGAGAATAGCCACACATGCATGAGAATAGCATAAATAATAATAGTGTAGACTACTGGTTTGCTACATCCAAATATTCTACGAAATATGGCCTGTTCCAAATATAGCATAAATTTCAACATGCAAACTAGAAGTGATCTTAAAAGTGTGAAATTTTATCTATTCTATAGGAAAAGTTATTATAATTAGCTTTTTCAATCCATTAAATAGAAGATACCTTAATACTAAATATAAGAATTCATCAATATAAATTAATTGAATTGTATTGTTTTGTAGTAATGAATCAAAAGATCTTTCAATAGATTTTATTTTTATTTATCAATACATTTCTGTTTGCAGTCTTGCCTACAAACAGAAAAAAATCTAATCTCTCTGCATTAATTTTTGTCTCGCCATCTTTTTCTTCGACAGCTTCTTTTTGGGTGCCTCTTCCTCTGCCGTCGGCTTGGCCACCACCTGTTCTTTTTCGGTCAGAATTACTTCTATGTGGCAGGGGCTGCTCATGTACGCTACAAATATCAATTTTGTTAAATTTTCTTGCCAGTAAAAAGGAATTCGAAAAGAAAAAATTCTTACGGTTGATACGTCCATGAGCTCTGTAGGTTCTCCTCCTCATCTTGGGTGCTCTGTTGACCTGGATGTGTTCAATGACCAGTCTGTCCACATCCAGACCCTTGTAGTCGGCATTGCTTTCGGCATTACGCAACAACTGTAGCAAAAACTCCGCACTCTTTTTGGGCCACCTTCCTTGAGTGCATCCCCATTGCTTGGCCTACAAACATTTTTTTAAAGAAAATTCAAATCAAGTGCCAAAATATTATTAATATATATTGAATTTATAAAATAACTGAAAAAAAACAAATTTCTGAAATTTAACAGTGTTAGTTCTGTTAAAGTTAAATTTAACAGATAATCTGACTCGATATACGCGGGAGGACCCAAAAATAATGGGAAAAAATTCATAAAAAATCATTTATTTATTTTAACAACTTTGTATTTTAATCTGCTTCAAAATACTCATTAGCCTCAATACACTTGCCAAACATTTTTTTCATTGTTCCAAACACCTAGAAAATTCCTGTTCTGAAATGCCTCTTAGTGCCTGAATCATCTTGTTTACACTAGGGTTTCTCAAACAGAATCCACGGATCCTGGTTGTTTTATTTGGGTCTCTAATTAATAAAAAATGATGAAATGCCATTTTAAAATGTGTTTTTATTCAACTAATATATTTATAAATAATATGTAGCCCAAAAAGTAGCCAATGCGCCAAATGATATTTTTTATCCCAAACCGAAAAAAGGGTAGCCAAATCTTGCAACGCTAGAAGGAATCCTAAATGAAGCTGGAGTTGGGACTCGAAGGATTATAGACCCGAATTCAAGGAAAGGAAAGACAAAAGATAAAGTGACGAAAGTTGGAAAATTAAGGGTCAATATTTGTATAACAGAAGGTCTATTTAACCTTTCTCACTACTTTTTATCTTTTGGCCTTTCTCTCCTTCCCCTGAATTTGGATCTGTAATCCTTTGAGTCACAACTCCAACTGTATTTAGTATTCCTTCCTTATTCACACATTTCCAAATATTTTAAAATATTTCCTTTCCACTCAAAAATAAAATATGTATAAATGTTTATGGCTTTGTGAAACTTCTTTTTTGAGTTTATGCTGTTGAAATGAATAAATAAAAATAAAATTTAAAAATTTGTTGGTTTTGCTTACACCTTTATTGGGCCACATGTGGTCTGCAGGCCATGGGTTGGACACTCCTGTTCTAGATCATAAATCAGTAAAGAATAAGGATTCTCAAATGTGCCACCCACCCTTGGTTCCATAAACTTATACCCAACAGCCCCAACATGTTTTCCCTTATGTGAAGAAGGTTTGGAAATATTCTTAGTAAAGCTTTTCTACATTGTACTCCACACCTGGAAACCATCAAATGCAATATTTCTTCTTACCCATTTTGACAGAGTATAGGGAAAGGTTGTCAGTGACCTGCATTCTCACCTATGGTCACTGTTCATTCAAGACCCCCCTCCAATCCCCTTGCTTCTTTTTGGCTTTGTAAAGTATTAGCTTGTAAACAGAAAGGGAACAAAAGAAGCACTGACCTCACTAATTAGATTCAAGGGTGGTCTGGTCATAAACCACTTGAGTTGGTGACCACCCACATCAAGAATCAGCAAACGCGAAAGTAAGCTTCACCTTCATCCGAGTCAAGTGGACCTGGGTGAAAGCTGTTCACAAGGAAGAGCTGTAATTGGTCAGAAGTTCCCATCCAAAAAGTCCTTAAATTGGAGAACAAGCAAGATATAAGTGGAGAAAGGGGTCAGGGACTGGTTGCATGGAAGTCTCAGATGCTTGGAAAGACCACTGAGATTAGACAGAGAGAGAGAGAGTATACTCCTGCAGAATACTGTATCTCAGAGACAGGTAAGTGCTGAGAACAGATGAACCATGCAGACAGAGCCAATCCACTGACTGACCAAGATCCCCCACAGACTTAATGGAACATGAGGCACCACACTTTGTATATATATCCTGTGTTTACTGTGTTTTCCAACTTGTATAGTCTATACACATTTTGTAAACAAAGTGTACATACTATCTTGATTGTGGAGGTGTGATTCCACTGAACCCACATCAGAACAATTTCAAGTTGTGTTTAATCCGACAAATCAACTCGAGGAGATGGAGTTTAGAGAGGAGACTTCACTGGCTCCCTACATTAACTCACTGTCCCAAGAGACAGTAGCACCCACTTTGGAAACCGCTGCAAATTTGATACTAGTTAAATGATACTTCTCAAAATAAAAACAAATTTATGGAAGACACTAATCATTTTACACCTGTCAATCCAACTGTGAACTTTAATTCTTTTATGATGCACACACACTGTAATCCAACATATACTGTATGAGACCCCCAACAGTGTCAGAATTAAGGAGACTGCTGGATTACAGTGCAAGGTGAATTCAATGATTAATCAGTTATAAAGAAAACATTTATTTGCATGATAGTACATTTCTATATTTTCTTTTGATTAATACAAATGAAGAAAATATGAAAGGACAATCCTTTTAAAATACTTTTCAATTGTCAATGCATTCTGATGACAAAATGGCATCAGAGCACACTGCTGTCATCAGTAACCAATGTTGCCAAGTTAGTGAATTACTGTAATTTTTGAAGGGCTGATTTTTATATATTATCTTAACACAATGCCGAATAAATATGTTTTTCAACACTCTTAACACGACGAGACTAACAATCTTTAATACTGTTCCCAAACTCTGGCTTGGACACAATATTCTCTTCTTTTGGTTCTGGGAAATTAATGGAAAGAAACTTAACTTATAAGAAATTAAGAAATAATATGAAATATCTTATACTTTTATAAATACTGTAGCAAGAATCGGTGTCCAATGTAATATAAATAGAACATCGGAGCATATTCCAGCAGCTTTCTTTTCGAAGACTTTAGCATTCCAAAGACTATTGGTGTCTGAAGAATGACTCTGCTTCGATTAACCCTTTCACACGCAGTGGTTTAAATTTGTACTGGTTATTAATAGTGTTGCCCTCTTTTGACATATTGAGGAAATCTTTAGTTATCTCATTTTTAAGTTTAAAAAAACAAAAAGATTTTACAATAATTAAATCTAATATGCATACAATACACCCAAAATTCATTTCAGACTCTAAAATGATCAGTCTTCAGTTGGTGTTTCAATAAAGATCATAAGATAAAAATATATAAAAGTTATATTAAAAGGCCAAAATAACCATGAAGGCATCACAATTAAGAAACTGATGTTATCTCACAAGTGCCGTACAATAAATTCTATGCCATGTTTCTTATAACCAAGCCAAGCTGTAGAATTCTACACACATTAATTACAATCAGTTACAGACCACTTTACATATCAAACAACAGACACATCAGTTGTAAGTATTGCGTCCATTACTTATTGTTTGATACATGTTGGCAAGTAATCTCTTGCCTTAAACAGAACATATTGTAGAAATCAATAGTTCTTTCAACAGGACAATGCTCCCATTCACACAGCAAACCTTACATACAAATGGTTTTTATCTAATAGGGTACTTATTATTGATTGTCAAGATCTAGCTCCTGAATCTCTTAATCCAATGGAAAATCTTTGAGGAATTTTGGATAGAGCTGCATATGCAAGTGGGCAGTAATATAATAGTGTGGAGGAACTAAAACACTATTTGCCACAGGAAGAAATAAGCACATCTGTCCTCCAAAAACTCATACAAATCAAGTGCATTTACAGTTATTTTAGCCAAAGGAAGCTTCATCGAATATTAGGTTATTGTTAAATGTAATTTATATTTTTGGGACAGTAAAATTAATTGTTGTTCATTTTTTTTCTGTCTTAATAAATGGTTACCATTTTTTTTTATATGTACATTCTTGAAAGTTCAAGCAAGCCAAAAATAAACTATTTTTGTAAACTCTGTAATGTGAATAATTTTATAAAGAAATCTGTTTTAAGGTGCCTATAAATATAATGGCATTAGCCTTTATATTTTTGGGCTAGATCATAAATCAGNTAGGATCGCGCTGGTCGCGTGGAGTTTTACGGTTTCTTTCACGTGTCTAATTGCACTTAATTATATAGGGGCCAGTTTCCTATAGAAAGTCCTTCCGGGAGGCACTTCGGCAGATCGCCCATGTGTTGGTTGACTTATACCATTACACTAGAATAAACCAATTTATTCTATATATATATTACTGCACAGGAAGATTGATTTAAGTTATTTTCAAGATAATATTCGACCTTCCAAACTAGTTCTTCCTTTTTGAAAACGGCAATTTAAATAAAGAAATAAAAAGATTATTATTATTATTATTATTATCGCTATTATTATCAGTAGTAGTATTTGTTATTCTGCCTACTCGAAATGATCATTTTTGAAATTTATCAGGTGTTAAAAGAGAAAAACTGAAATAGCCACAAGTCACAACACATTCACACAATGCACACAAAGATTATCTAAACATATCTAGGAACGATTGCGTTCCCAGATTTAATAAATAAGGATTTAATAAGAAATTCCGGTCGGACGTGCTGTATTATTGCCACATCATTTATAACAAGCAATAAATTTTAATAAAATATTTCATTTTTCTTTATCTTTTTTACGTTTTCTTTGTGCTGGTTTCTTCGGTTAGATTTTAATGCCTATTAAATTTTAACTTTTTTTTTTTAAATTAATGGAATAAGGCAATGTAACACATGGGCGATCTGCCAAGGGAGTGTCTCCCGGGGAAAACTGGCCCTTATTTAAACTTAGACAGCCAAGAAAACCCGGAAAACTTTAAGTGGCCAACCCATTGTAAGGCGCGAACCCGCGACCAACCACCAGTATTCAGTAGCATTATGCATTCGCCACTGGTGGATACTGTTCTTAAAAGATGTCATCATAAAATACAATTAAAAATATATTAAATTAATTTGATGAAAGTAAAATACTTTCGCTAAAATTTACAACATTAATTTCTATTTTAGAGAAAGTAATGTATTCTAAATTATTTAAGAAAATATAATTGAAATACTGTTTAATTGCTTAACTTGTCTTTTTTTGTAAATTTCTTTTCGTAAGCGTAACTTCAAGTTATATTATAAAATGAAATAAAATAGAAAATGTAGTGTTGTGTCTGTATAACTTAAACGTCTCAGAATAAACAAAGTAGATCTGATTATTTGTATGGTATGTATCGAACTGAATAATACTAAGCATACAGAGTGATTTAGAAGTATTGTTATTTGTATAAACAGAAACACGATGATTCAACACTGAAAAATAAATTTAAAATATAAAAAGAAGTTTCATTGTTTGAACCTCCCTCAGTAAAAGGCAAATACTGTTTACAGGAATACGGAAATACATACAATTTGTTAAATCAGTACTTTTTAAAATATATCTTTTATTATTTTACACGCAAAAATTTCAGCACAAATCGCTACATTTGTATTGTTTTCTACACACAACTTTACAGCTATTAATAAGAAAATGTCACGTGTATTTTATGTATTTTAATAGATGTTTTACTGTTAATTAGGGGAGGAAATCTATTGTTGTAAGACTTTTCCTATTGTAATCGAAAATAATAAATAAAATGCGTAGTTGGGAATTAAAAAAACATCATATTTTTAATTAAAAATTAAATATTTATATGTAACGTGAGTATCGCGATCGCTAAAATGTTGAAACTGTGATATAATAAACTAACTTACATCGTTATAAATTAACCTTAAACTGAATATAAATAAATTTCTCAAAATACGGAAGAAACTACATTTAAAAAAAAAAATTATAACTTTAAATAAAGTTGAAGTGTATTTTTATATCGGGATAAAGATATATTTTAAATTTGAACCTTTCACCATTCAGTTTGGGAACACAATTCAATGAGTCAGAACAAGTAAAAAAAGTCAGACGAGCAAATTTAAACTGGTCTGTAACGTGGAACGAACTTTTTCCATAACATTTACTCTTTTTTTTATGAAGTACAATTACGGCAAACCGGAAATACTTTTCGAAAAGCAGACAAAGATCATTAGGCCCATCTTAATGCTTTCTAACCTTTTATTTCCGCCAAAAAGTATTACATTATTGCATACCATAAATAAACATAAAATTGTTATTCTATAAAATCAAATTTTGAAGTTATAGATATATTATTGAATAATTTCTTATAAAATTATATTTTAAAAACCGACGAATTGTACCTGAAGGTATATTTATTCGAAGTTACTTTTAGGTCATTGGCTTATATGTATAAAGTACCTAAAAGTAACTTCTAAATTTTTTTCATATAACCTGTACTTCGTCTAGTTTAATTTCATTTAATTAAATCTAAACTGATTAAAAACTAATTTTACCTGTGCCTTACGTCCCACTCCTCCATTGAATCTTCTGAAGGGCACAATTTCTTTCATAGCCATGACATTCTTTAAAAATCGTTGCGCACGTCTCAGGGGCATTCTTTTGACAGACTGAGCAGTCTCTCTTGTATTCTGTAATATATTTTTCATTATGATGCTCTGTCACATTTCAAAATTTAATATGTTTAAAACCATTTAATCACTTACCTTAAAATGAACTCTAAGATTTGAACCTCGAGCTTTACAAGCTGAAAATATTCAATGAAATTTACTTATCACAAAACTGATTAAAGAAAAACTACTTAAATTTATTTGCATTTTTTGTTTTTTAAAGGATTTCTGATAAAGAGCCACAAATTCCTATCGGCACATAATCAAATCCGTCGTATTTATATTTGAACATAGTTAATTTAATTGAACATTTGAGTTTATATAACAAACAAGCCTTAAAAACAATGTTTTTTTAGATAAATGTTTACTCTATTATGTTCAGTGTCTTTTTATATCAAAATAACACACTGAAAAGTAATATACTTTAATATATTGCAACAATTGGAAAATAAGTAATGACAAACGCTACTAAATTCACATGTGCAACAATATATTTTAATAACGATTAATACAGGACCAAAATGTTACTTGCCAAATGGGAGTAATCATAATTCTTATTGTTTTAAGTGCAATAATGACTGGAAGTAATCATGCCAACCTCTGAACAAACAATTTGTTTTACTGTCTGGGAACAATCATAGAACAACAGAACTGCACAGGAATTGTCATTACTACTAAGACCTGGAGCCTTCACATCAAGCTGCTGGCAATATCACTGAAATTTAAGAAAACATCCAGTGTTCCAGATGAAAACAAGCATCACTTATTGTTCAGGGACCAGCATAATTACTTCCAATCTTTATAGCACATGAAACAATAAGAACAGTGATTACCCTTTTTGGGGCAAGTGACTTTTTGGCTGTACTATATAAGCTGTTGTGGCCATCGGCCATAGTTTTATATATATTTTTGTTAATTTTAGTTAGGCTTAGTATCTCCTCTGTTCTTTTGTCTTAACTGTTCTAGAACTTTCTCCCTTAATCCCTATTCCCTCAGCTGACATCACCGATTCTGTGAAACAATGTCAAGAAGACAAAAGGAGCAATAACCCCCTGGAGAAAAGGCGAGGTGAAAGAAAGGAGAAGCGGCTGCGATTTCGTCGAGAGAGGACAAAAACGAGTGTGGTCCTGACCGAGGGGTCGATCAAGGAGTAAGAAACCTTGCGATAGAAGGCCGAAGGAGGATCATACCCTGATCGCTTAGTGAGAGATCAGAGGTATCGGAACCTTGTAAGACGGCTGAATTATAGAGGAACGTAGGACAGTTGCAAAAAAATAGAGTTTCCCCATGTTCAAGTAACGGCAAACGGGAAGACCACAAGACAACCCCAGAAAACGTAGGCATTCGTAAGAGGAAAGAAAATAAGGCCTGCAGTCATTAAGAATTTCAAGACGGTGAATCATCTGAGACCACGTGGCAGAAAACTCCTGGGTATTTTCTCCTTTATTCTACTACTATCCCTATCTATATTTTATTTCTCCTTCCTTAGTTTGTAAGTAGGTTAAGTTTAGCTATAAGTCGTGTGTCGGTTGCCACAACAGAGGCTTGTTTGTGTAGACGATTATTGTATGTATACGAACCCAATAGTCTGTAAGTTGGAATCATTTTAAAGAACCTGTGTNACTCTCACCTATGGTCACTGTTCATTCAAGACCCCCTCCAATCCCCTTGCTTCTTTTTGGCTTTGTAAAGTATTAGCTTGTAAACAGAAAGGGAACAAAAGAAGCACTGACCTCACTAATTAGATTCAAGGGTGGTCTGGTCATAAACCACTTGAGTTGGTGACCACCCACATCGAAGAATCAGCAAATGCGAAAGTAAGCTTCACCTTCATCCGAGTCAAGTGGACCTGGGTGAAAGCTGTTCACAAGGAAGAGCTGTAATTGGTCAGAAGTTCCCATCCAAAAAGTCCTTAAATTGGAGAACAAGCAAGATATAAGTGGAGAAAGGGGTCAGGGACTGGTTGCATGGAAGTCTCAGATGCTTGGAAAGACCACTGAGATTAGACAGAGAGAGAGAGAGTATACTCCTGCAGAATACTGTATCTCAGAGACAGGTAAGTGCTGAGAACAGATGAACCATGCAGACAGAGCCAATCCACTGACTGACCAAGATCCCCCACAGACTTAATGGAACATGAGGCACCACACTTTGTATATATATCCTGTGTTTACTGTGTTTTCCAACTTGTATAGTCTATACACATTTTGTAAACAAAGTGTAAATAATAGTGTAGACTACTGGTTTGCTACATCCAAATATTCTACGAAATATGGCCTGTTCCAAATATAGCATAAATTTCAACATGCAAACTAGAAGTGATCTTAAAAGTGTGAAATTTTATCTATTCTATAGGAAAAGTTATTATAATTAGCTTTTTCAATCCATTAAATAGAAGATACCTTAATACTAAATATAAGAATTCATCAATATAAATTAATTGAATTGTATTGTTTTGTAGTAATGAATCAAAAGATCTTTCAATAGATTTTATTTTTATTTATCAATACATTTCTGTTTGCAGTCTTGCCTACAAACAGAAAAAAATCTAATCTCTCTGCATTAATTTTTGTCTCGCCATCTTTTTCTTCGACAGCTTCTTTTTGGGTGCCTCTTCCTCTGCCGTCGGCTTGGCCACCACCTGTTCTTTTTCGGTCAGAATTACTTCTATGTGGCAGGGGCTGCTCATGTACGCTACAAATATCAATTTTGTTAAATTTTCTTGCCAGTAAAAAGGAATTCGAAAAGAAAAAATTCTTACGGTTGATACGTCCATGAGCTCTGTAGGTTCTCCTCCTCATCTTGGGTGCTCTGTTGACCTGGATGTGTTCAATGACCAGTCTGTCCACATCCAGACCCTTGTAGTCGGCATTGCTTTCGGCATTACGCAACAACTGTAGCAAAAACTCCGCACTCTTTTTGGGCCACCTTCCTTGAGTGCATCCCCATTGCTTGGCCTACAAACATTTTTTTAAAGAAAATTCAAATCAAGTGCCAAAATATTATTAATATATATTGAATTTATAAAATAACTGAAAGGAAACAAATTTCTGAAATTTAACAGTGTTAGTTCTGTTAAAGTTAAATTTAACAGATAATCTGACTCGATATACGCGAGAGGACCCAAAAATAATGGGAAAAAATTCATAAAAAATCATTTATTTATTTTAACAACTTTGTATTTTAATCTGCTTCAAAATACTCATTAGCCTCAATACACTTGCCAAACATTTTTTTCATTGTTCCAAACACCTAGAAAATTCCTGTTCTGAAATGCCTCTTAGTGCCTGAATCATCTTGTTTACACTAGGGTTTCTCAAACAGAATCCACGGATCCTGGTTGTTTTATTTGGGTCTCTAATTAATAAAAAATGATGAAATGCCATTTTAAAATGTGTTTTTATTCAACTAATATATTTATAAATAATATGTAGCCCAAAAAGTAGCCAATGCGCCAAATGATATTTTTTATGCCAAACCGAAAAAAGGGTAGCCAAATCTTGCAACACTAGAAGGAATCCTAAATGAAGCTGGAGTTGGGACTCGAAGGATTATAGACCCGAATTCAAGGAAAGGAAAGACAAAAGATAAAGTGACGAAAGTTGGAAAATTAAGGGTCAATATTTGTATAACAGAAGGTCTATTTAACCTTTCTCACTACTTTTTATCTTTTGGCCTTTCTCTCCTTCCCCTGAATTTGGATCTGTAATCCTTTGAGTCACAACTCCAACTGTATTTAGTATTCCTTCCTTATTCACACATTTCCAAATATTTTAAAATATTTCCTTTCCACTCAAAAATAAAATATGTATAAATGTTTATGGCTTTGTGAAACTTCTTTTTTGAGTTTATGCTGTTGAAATGAATAAATAAAAATAAAATTTAAAAATTTGTTGGTTTTGCTTACACCTTTATTGGGCCACATGTGGTCTGCAGGCCATGGGTTGGACACTCCTGTTCTAGATCATAAATCAGTAAAGAATAAGGATTCTCAAATGTGCCACCCACCCTTGGTTCCATAAACTTATACCCAACAGCCCCAACATGTTTTCCCTTATGTGAAGAAGGTTTGGAAATATTCTTAGTAAAGCTTTTCTACATTGTACTCCACACCTGGAAACCATCAAATGCAATATTTCTTCTTACCCATTTTGACAGAGTATAGGGAAAGGTTGTCAGTGACCTGCATTCTCACCTATGGTCACTGTTCATTCAAGACCCCCTCCAATCCCCTTGCTTCTTTTTGGCTTTGTAAAGTATTAGCTTGTAAACAGAAAGGGAACAAAAGAAGCACTGACCTCACTAATTAGATTCAAGGGTGGTCTGGTCATAAACCACTTGAGTTGGTGACCACCCACATCGAAGAATCAGCAAATGCGAAAGTAAGCTTCACCTTCATCCGAGTCAAGTGGACCTGGGTGAAAGCTGTTCACAAGGAAGAGCTGTAATTGGTCAGAAGTTCCCATCCAAAAAGTCCTTAAATTGGAGAACAAGCAAGATATAAGTGGAGAAAGGGGTCAGGGACTGGTTGCATGGAAGTCTCAGATGCTTGGAAAGACCACTGAGATTAGACAGAGAGAGAGAGAGTATACTCCTGCAGAATACTGTATCTCAGAGACAGGTAAGTGCTGAGAACAGATGAACCATGCAGACAGAGCCAATCCACTGACTGACCAAGATCCCCCACAGACTTAATGGAACATGAGGCACCACACTTTGTATATATATCCTGTGTTTACTGTGTTTTCCAACTTGTATAGTCTATACACATTTTGTAAACAAAGTGTACATACTATCTTGATTGTGGAGGTGTGATTCCACTGAACCCACATCAGAACAATTTCAAGTTGTGTTTAATCCGACAAATCAACTCGAGGAGATGGAGTTTAGAGAGGAGACTTCACTGGCTCCCTACATTAACTCACTGTCCCAAGAGACAGTAGCACCCACTTTGGAAACCGCTGCAAATTTGATACTAGTTAAATGATACTTCTCAAAATAAAAACAAATTTATGGAAGACACTAATCATTTTACACCTGTCAATCCAACTGTGAACTTTAATTCTTTTATGATGCACACACACTGTAATCCAACATATACTGTATGAGACCCCCAACAGTGTCAGAATTAAGGAGACTGCTGGATTACAGTGCAAGGTGAATTCAATGATTAATCAGTTATAAAGAAAACATTTATTTGCATGATAGTACATTTCTATATTTTCTTTTGATTAATACAAATGAAGAAAATATGAAAGGACAATCCTTTTAAAATACTTTTCAATTGTCAATGCATTCTGATGACAAAATGGCATCAGAGCACACTGCTGTCATCAGTAACCAATGTTGCCAAGTTAGTGAATTACTGTAATTTTTGAAGGGCTGATTTTTATATATTATCTTAACACAATGCCGAATAAATATGTTTTTCAACACTCTTAACACGACGAGACTAACAATCTTTAATACTGTTCCCAAACTCTGGCTTGGACACAATATTCTCTTCTTTTGGTTCTGGGAAATTAATGGAAAGAAACTTAACTTATAAGAAATTAAGAAATAATATGAAATATCTTATACTTTTATAAATACTGTAGCAAGAATCGGTGTCCAATGTAATATAAATAGAACATCGGAGCATATTCCAGCAGCTTTCTTTTCGAAGACTTTAGCATTCCAAAGACTATTGGTGTCTGAAGAATGACTCTGCTTCGATTAACCCTTTCACACGCAGTGGTTTAAATTTGTACTGGTTATTAATAGTGTTGCCCTCTTTTGACATATTGAGGAAATCTTTAGTTATCTCATTTTTAAGTTTAAAAAAACAAAAAGATTTTACAATAATTAAATCTAATATGCATACAATACACCCAAAATTCATTTCAGACTCTAAAATGATCAGTCTTCAGTTGGTGTTTCAATAAAGATCATAAGATAAAAATATATAAAAGTTATATTAAAAGGCCAAAATAACCATGAAGGCATCACAATTAAGAAACTGATGTTATCTCACAAGTGCCGTACAATAAATTCTATGCCATGTTTCTTATAACCAAGCCAAGCTGTAGAATTCTACACACATTAATTACAATCAGTTACAGACCACTTTACATATCAAACAACAGACACATCAGTTGTAAGTATTGCGTCCATTACTTATTGTTTGATACATGTTGGCAAGTAATCTCTTGCCTTAAACAGAACATATTGTAGAAATCAATAGTTCTTTCAACAGGACAATGCTCCCATTCACACAGCAAACCTTACATACAAATGGTTTTTATCTAATAGGGTACTTATTATTGATTGTCAAGATCTAGCTCCTGAATCTCTTAATCCAATGGAAAATCTTTGAGGAATTTTGGATAGAGCTGCATATGCAAGTGGGCAGTAATATAATAGTGTGGAGGAACTAAAACACTATTTGCCACAGGAAGAAATAAGCACATCTGTCCTCCAAAAACTCATACAAATCAAGTGCATTTACAGTTATTTTAGCCAAAGGAAGCTTCATCGAATATTAGGTTATTGTTAAATGTAATTTATATTTTTGGGACAGTAAAATTAATTGTTGTTCATTTTTTTTCTGTCTTAATAAATGGTTACCATTTTTTTTTATATGTACATTCTTGAAAGTTCAAGCAAGCCAAAAATAAACTATTTTTGTAAACTCTGTAATGTGAATAATTTTATAAAGAAATCTGTTTTAAGGTGCCTATAAATATAATGGCATTAGCCTTTATATTTTTGGGCATCTTAAAACAAATTAAAATTCTTAAAATGTTTTGATAACATTGGCATTCTTAAAAGGAAGTATTTTTCAACCTTTTTCATCTGATGGCACACTTGAATCTATAATTAAATCTCCATGACACAAATTTCCTCAGAATAAATTATGTGATTTAAAGTTGTTTGTGTGAACATTCTATCATCATATTACTTGCCATTTAATTCTTTGTGTCTATTTTTTGTGAATTAAATAAAATATTATTGTTCTCCCTTAAAACAGCAGCAGGTTACAACAATAGTTATTTAAATTAATAATTTTCACTTACATGAGAAAAGCAATTAACTTTAAATCTTAATTTGTGTTTAAAAGTTGCATAATAATTGCTTTAGAAACCTACCCAACGCCCTGCTATTTCTAAGTTAAAAAAATTTAAACTAAATATGGACAATTATAGATACGTTTTTGATTAAAAGAAAAATTTCATTTTAAATGAAATAATCCAATGTTATGCACATACAGTTTTGCTTATGAATATATATTTACGACTACATTATATATATGTTTATTTATTATAACAATGAAATATTCTTATAATCAATTTAATTTAAGGAGTTTTAATATTGACACATACACTTCAATTATTATTCTTTGGGCTTGTTTTGAAAATAATTTATTTAATAACCTTCAAAAATTTTTGTGACACACCAGTTGAAAACCACTAATTACGAATAAAAGTATTATTATACTCTGTATAGATGTAAAGAAAATGATTTACATTTCGAATATCGTTTAAGTGTTAAAAGCATCAGACTAACTTTTAGACTGCCACAGAATATACTAATAATAATTTTATTTATAGTTTTATTTTAAAAAATACTTATTTATATAATTTATGCAATGTAAATGTAACGATTTCTGTATCGAATATCATTTAAACGTTTAAAAATCAGAATGCAGCAAAGTTCAAAATTTTCAAAGGATAGAACTGTTTGTGTTTTCTGTGCATTCGTTCCTGACGAGGGCCTCTAAAAGACGGCCACAAACATTTGAACATTAAAATTTATTTGTTTATTACGTGCTGGAATTCACATTTAGGTTTCAGTTAAATACCATAGATCCAGTTTCACTAGGACATCCTTATATAATTTCTGAAAAAACTTTATTATATTATTTTAATTACCTGCCTGATTTCTAAAAGATGGGAACATTTAAACTCTTTTAATAAAATTCTCTTGAAAGTGTATGAAAATATCATAGTGTACTTAATTAAAATAATTACAAAAAACTCTCTCTTTCAAATTATATTTTCGTTTTACTTAGTCAAACTAGGAAGAGTTTTTTGTCTAGGATTTAGGTTCTGACTAAGCATTTTAATGCTTTATGATTTTAATGTTTTTTACATAGAAGAAATTAAAAATGTCTTCCCTTTTTATCATGTCCAATCACCAGGAACAACAGTCTTCCATTGCAAATTACCTCTCATTAGAGGCTAACCTCCAAAACATTTTAGTTTCTTCTATGTATTTTTTCTTGTGTAAATATTGTCAGCAACTTTAACATACTTAAGTGATTTTGATACATGTTATTTCTAAAATATTTTACTAGATTAGATTAATAATAATTCCTTTTTTTTCTAACATAGGCTTATTTTTACAGACTTTTGTAGTCCAACAATGTTAAACAAGACAAGAGATTATTATTTAAAAACACTCATTATAACAATAGATCTCTCTACAATATTTTTCTTGTTCCGCTAAACGTCACTACAGAGGAATTATTGTATAAATATTTTAAAAAACTACACACATAAGGTAATGCAGTTGCTCTGGTCAAAGCATTCAATGAAAACTATTATTTGATATTTGCTCCAATAGATTTAAAAAAATTCATTTTTTGACTAATTAACTTAATATTAATTAACTTTTGCATTTAATAAAATTCAAACAAATCAAAAATTTAAATGTTTATCATACAATCTTCTAATTCACTTTTGTTGTTCATACTAAATTCATCAAAGTATTAATTTATAAATTTCATTTCAGATGTTGCTTTCTTTTGTTCTCTGCAGGTTTTAGAAATATTCATATATATTTATGTAATCTTTCTCAACAGTTAAAACTCAATCAAATTTATTACATCAAAAAATAAAATAAAATTCCAGATTATTATATTTAAGATTGAAAGAATTAAAAAATATTTTTCTTGAAATGATTTTCTTCTAGTTTAATTTCATTTAATTAAATCTAAACTGATTAAAAACTAATTTTACCTGTGCCTTACGTCCCACTCCTCCATTGAATCTTCTGAAGGGCACAATTTCTTTCATAGCCATGACATTCTTTAAAAATCGTTGCGCACGTCTCAGGGGCATTCTTTTGACAGACTGAGCAGTCTCTCTTGTATTCTGTAATATATTTTTCATTATGATGCTCTGTCACATTTCAAAATTTAATATGTTTAAAACCATTTAATCACTTACCTTAAAATGAACTCTAAGATTTGAACCTCGAGCTTTACAAGCTGAAAATATTCAATGAAATTTACTTATCACAAAACTGATTAAAGAAAAACTACTTAAATTTATTTGCATTTTTTGTTTTTTAAAGGATTTCTGATAAAGAGCCACAAATTCCTATCGGCACATAATCAAATCCGTCGTATTTATATTTGAACATAGTTAATTTAATTGAACATTTGAGTTTATATAACAAACAAGCCTTAAAAACAATGTTTTTTTAGATAAATGTTTACTCTATTATGTTCAGTGTCTTTTTATATCAAAATAACACACTGAAAAGTAATATACTTTAATATATTGCAACAATTGGAAAATAAGTAATGACAAACGCTACTAAATTCACATGTGCAACAATATATTTTAATAACGATTAATACAGGATCAAAATGTTACTTGCCAAATGGGAGTAATCATAATTCTTATTGTTTTAAGTGCAATAATGACTGGAAGTAATCATGCCAACCTCTGAACAAACAATTTGTTTTACTGTCTGGGAACAATCATAGAACAACAGAACTGCACAGGAATTGTCATTACTACTAAGACCTGGAGCCTTCACATCAAGCTGCTGGCAATATCACTGAAATTTAAGAAAACATCCAGTGTTCCAGATGAAAACAAGCATCACTTATTGTTCAGGGACCAGCATAATTACTTCCAATCTTTATAGCACATGAAACAATAAGAACAGTGATTACCCTTTTTGGGGCAAGTGACTTTTTGGCTGTACTATATAAGCTGTTGTGGCCATCGGCCATAGTTTTATATATATTTTTGTTAATTTTAGTTAGGCTTAGTATCTCCTCTGTTCTTTTGTCTTAACTGTTCTAGAACTTTCTCCCTTAATCCCTATTCCCTCAGCTGACATCACCGATTCTGTGAAACAATGTCAAGAAGACAAAAGGAGCAATAACCCCCTGGAGAAAAGGCGAGGTGAAAGAAAGGAGAAGCGGCTGCGATTTCGTCGAGAGAGGACAAAAACGAGTGTGGTCCTGACCGAGGGGTCGATCAAGGAGTAAGAAACCTTGCGATAGAAGGCCGAAGGAGGATCATACCCTGATCGCTTAGTGAGAGATCAGAGGTATCGGAACCTTGTAAGACGGCTGAATTATAGAGGAACGTAGGGCAATTGCTAAAGAAATCGAGTTCCCCCATGTTCAAGTAACGGCAAGCGGGAAGACCACAAGACAACTTCAGAAAACGTAGACGTTCATAAGAGGAAAGAAAATAAGGTCTGCAGTCATTAAGAATTTCAAGACGGTGAATCATCCGAGACCACGTGGCAGAAAACTCCCGGGTATTTTCTCCTTTATTCTACTACTATCCCTATCTATATTTTATTTCTCCTTCCTTAGTTTGTAAGTAGGTTAAGTTTAGCTATAAGTCGTGTGTCGGTTGCCACAACAGAGGCTTGTTTGTGTAGACGATTATTGTATGTATACGAACCCAATAGTCTATAAGTTGGAATCATTTTAAAGAACCTGTGTTTGATGAATAAAAAAAATTTTGTATTTTTACTCTTTATATGTTTCCTGTCTGCAATAATATATTGCCCTCAAACGAAACTTCACACTGTTTTCAAGCTTTATTATTAAGATCATTACATTTATACTATGTTCAGTCAGCCGGCCAGAGACTATAATTCATTTTACTTTTCCAGCTGTTATGTACATGTTATGGACTAAGTGTTTAATACAAGCATTATTTATAATGTCCGGCCATTATGAATAATGACAAACAAAATCGGGCAATGTAATAAATTTCAGGTTTTCTTTATATCATAATTTATCAGACTGACCCATCACTATGAATACTGCTATCACCTGGTCGGACAAAGTGGTGATAATACTTTGAGGAGCGATCATTTGACACATGTTGGCCAATCAGCACTTGTGTCTGATTTGTGCATATGCATTGCGTTTATTATCGAATTTTGAATTAATGTGACCAATAGGTAGTAAACTTGTGCAACATTTTAATTTTATTTTTCTCTCTTAAAATAGTGTTTTCTTCTTTGAGAAAATAATAATGCAGCAATCATTAAGTGATTTGAATACCCTCATCAACAACTAATTAAACGAGTTAATATCAGCAAATATCATCAAAGTCTTAATTGCTTGAATAAATAAACTAAAGAAATATTTAATTTTTTATACATGTTATACCAAAAACGACATTTCAGAAGTTTTCTTTATACTTCAATAAAAAATCAACTTTTGTTAATAAGACTTTTTGATTGTAAAAATTGACTCATTTAAGGAGTGAGAAAAAGAGGGGAAGTCCCAGATTGTGTGTGCATGCTAATTCAGTCTGTGTTTAGCACTCATTCTGCTAGCATCTTAGTGACGCTTATGATCACACATTTTTCCAAACTTGTGTTCAGACATATTACATATAAACATCAATAACCATAGCCCATTATATAATAAACATGCCAGATGACATGACAAATTCATGGGCTATGTAAAGGCTATAATTAAATATTAGAAATTACTGTATTTCAATTTTTTTTTTGTTTTCTGCAAATTGAATTCGCATTCCAGATAGATTCATTCATACTATTAGAAAAGATGATGATGATTCACGCTCCTTAACCTGTTGTATGTTGTTCCCAAAAATATTCGTGTTGACCTCATTGACCTGCGTGGGCAATTCCGAATATTTTCGTGTTTACATCGGAATGTTTTTTTAAACATCAGATGTCGCTACTTGTATGTTCTTTTCAAATAAGTGACTCATATCAGAAGAACTGTTATGTTATCTAGTTTTTGCTCAGCAGGTTATCGAAATTCTAGAAATAGTTCTTTGTTAGAAATTACAAAGAAACTTAGACCATTTTGTTTCTGTTTTTCGACATGGCAGCAAGTAGTAAACACAGCATTCTAAATAAGTCAGAAGTTATCGAATATTTATTCAATTTAGGTTCTGATGAATCTGAATTTTTAGACAGCAACGATTATTACATACCAGATTAAAATGTAAGTGATGACAGCGGTGATTTTGATCCTGATTTACCATCTATAAGTGGATATAGAGGCAGATCACGCGGCAGTACTCATAGTAATACTGCTAAACATCCGCAATTTAGTAGTGACGATGGATGGATTCGTACGAATTTCAGACGTCCTCAAGTGAACAGTTTTATGAGACCATCAGGAATACTATGTAATCTATGGAGTGATGCTACACCGTTTGACTGTTTCAGTATATTCTTCGATGACGAACTCGTTGACAAGATTGTTTCAGAAACGAACAGGTATGGTGATAGTTTGCTAAACTGCAACGATTTGCGAGAGAATAGTCGGATAAAAAACTGGAAACCAATGACAAATCCAGAAATTAGAGAATTTCTAGGACTTATAATGGTCACAAGCATAATTAGAAAACCGCACCTAAGTATGTATTTTACAAAGATCTTTTTTCGACACCCTTTTTTGAAGTATGATGTTGAGCAACCACTTTCAACTTTTATTGTCCTGTCTGCATTTTACGGACAATAATCAAGCTTCAGGTGGTGGTGATCGACTACATAAATTAAGCAGTGTTATCGATCATTTATGCAAGTTCAAAAATGCATATCTCCCAGAGGAAAATATCTGTGTAGACGAAAGTCTTACACTATGGAAAGGGAGATTGGGATTTAGGCAATACATACCGAACAAGTGTGCTCGTTTTGGAGTGAAAAGCTTCGAAATTTGTGAGTCACAAACAGGATATGTTTGGGACTTTATAGTTTATACCGGAGCTACTACTGAATACGGAAATTTTGAAGGTGGACAAGGAGAGAAGGTTGTGCTAACCTTATTAGAACCGTTGTTCAGTAAATATCACAAGGTGTTTTTAGATAGGTTTTTCACCTCACCGACCTTAGCAAAAACACTTCTAGACAAAAAAACTTATGTATGTAGAACTGTAAATAAAAATCAGATAGGAATGCCACATAATTTTCCTGATTGTAAATTGAAAGAAGGGGAATTTATCACCTGTCAGAAAGATGAATTGTCTGTGTTCTGCTGGAAAGACAAAAGGGATGTGGCAATTTTAAGTACAATGAGTGACAACAAATTCTCTGATTTGAGTAAACGTGACAGATCTGGGGAAGTAATAAGAAAACCAAATTGTATATTGGATTATAATTATAATATAGGTGCTATTGATCTCTGTGATGGGGTAATACACAATTATCCGTGCACGAGAAAAACGGTAAAATGGTACAAAAAAGTGTTTTTTCATATGATGGATATTACGTTATATAATGCTTGTATTTTATATTGAAAATATATTAAAAAACAAATATCACTTCTAGATTTTCGTATGCCTGTAATCAGAGAAGTATCACACAAGCAGACATCTAGCCCACCACGGTCAACCATCACACAAAAATCTGTTACGTTTATCCGAATGGCATTTTCCTAGTCTCATACCACCTACAGAGAAAAAAAAACATCCATCCGGAGTATGTAAAGTATGTTCGGCTAAGAAAAAATGTGCAGAATCACGTTATCAATATGTACAGTGTAATGTTTCACTGTGTGTTGTACCTTGTTTTGAGATATATCACACAAATTAATTTTTAAAATAAAATTTNCCACACTTTGTATCCTGTGTTTACTGTGTTTTCCAACTTGTATAGTCTATACACATTTTGTAAACAAAGTGTACATACTATCTTGATTGTGGAGGTGTGATTCCACTGAACCCACATCAGAACAATTTCAAGTTGTGTTTAATCCGACAAATCAACTCGAGGAGATGGAGTTTAGAGAGGAGACTTCACTGGCTCCCTACATTAACTCACTGTCCCAAGAGACAGTAGCACCCACTTTGGAAACCGCTGCAAATTTGATACTAGTTAAATGATACTTCTCAAAATAAAAACAAATTTATGGAAGACACTAATCATTTTACACCTGTCAATCCAACTGTGAACTTTAATTCTTTTATGATGCACACACACTGTAATCCAACATATACTGTATGAGACCCCCAACAGTGTCAGAAT